ACCCATCCTACACCCATCCGCCTGCCCCACCCTGCCATGCCTTTTCAGCTGTCTTCCTCCACCACCTCTATTCCTGAGCTGAAGTTCCAATCCTTTCCTGTCTCCTTGCAGGAGCAGGTGGCCTGGCTCCTGGTGTAGGTGGCCTGGCTCCTGGTGTAGGTGGCCTGGCTCCTGGTGTAGGTGGTCTAGCTCCCGGTGTGGGTGGCCTTGCTCCTGGCGTAGGTGGCCTGGCTCCTGGAGTGGGTGGCCTGGCCCCCGGCATTGGAGGTGTCCCAGGTGAGGAGGAGGAAGGCGGGTGGTAGTGGCAGCCTGGCTGGTGCAGGGGCAGACCTGGGGCAGGCCAGGCTTGAGGAGGACCTTGGTGGTCTCCATCAATTCATGGCCATCCCTTGGGGGATGCAGATAAGATGGGAGGGAAGGACACTGACCCCCATCTTGATGTCTCTACTCAGGTGTTGGAGGTCCAGCTGCAGCAGCAAAAGCAGCAGCGAAGGCAGCCAAATTTGGTGAGTTGGCTGGAGAAGCCCATTCCCAGCAGCCCTGTGCACGCGATGGGCAGCTGGGGTGTCCCCATGAGCCCTGGTGTGGCACAGACTGGGCCAGGGGGAGCTGGGGGGCTTCAGGGGTGGGCACCCCATGACAGGCACATCATCCTACGGAGTATGGGGATCACATGGAGATCACCCCCATGCTGCCTCACCCCCTCTCTCTGCAGGTGCTGGGGTCGGGGTGCCAGGTGGGGTCCCTGGCGTTGCTGGAGTGCCAGGAGTGACACCCGGTGTCGGCGGCGTGCCTGGGTTGGTGCCGGGTGTGGGGGTACCCGGTACTGGCATCCTCCCCGGTGCAGGTACATGCTGCTTCACACCCCGCTTGGGGACATGCTTGGGGACAGCAGTGGCCAGGGATGCTAAAGCAACCAAGCCACGTGGAGGGGTGGCAGGGGGGGCTGCAGGTGGGATGGGGAATGGTGGCATGGGGGAGAGATGCAGGGGTGACTGTCCTAACTGTGGTGTCCTCATTCACTTTGCAGGCATCCCCCAAGTAGGGGTGCAGCCTGGTGCTAAACCTCCCAAATTCGGTACGTATCCCTGCCACCCTGCCCTTGGTCCACCTTGGACCATCACTGGGCACCCCCCCTGTGTGGCTGTTGGTGTTCTGGCCTTGCTTCATGTCCCCTGTGCCCCAGCATAGGGTGGTCCAGGCATAGGAGGTGGTGTGCTGTCACCCATGGGTGTGAAGAGCCACCTGCACCTCCTCCCTGGAACTCGTTGGGGACGTTTTTCTCCTGCTCTGCATTGCCTGCAGCAGTGCATCATGCTGGGGGTGAGACCCCTCTGGGTCTTCTTGCTCCGGGTGCTGTGGACACCCAGGATGGGTGGCAGGGGCCACCTCACAGGGTCAAGTACTGGCTGGAGGGTATCAGGCTGTGGGGGGACAGGGATTAACGGTCTCTCTCTGGCAGGCGTTCCTGGAGCTGGAGTCCCAGGGGTTGGCGGCATCCCAGGTGGGTGCTGGCAGGAGCTGAGCCCAGGCAGATCCTGCCAGGCAGGGGGATGCTCCCCCAGGGCATGGGGGGAGCGGGGCTGCCTGAGGGAGGATGGGCACACATGGGGCTGGGTGAGGAGCAGATCAGATTCTGCCCGTCCCCACTGGCGCTCACCTGGGACCCCCATCATAGGTGGCCTTGGAGTCGGCGGCCTTGGACTCGGTGGTCTTGGAGTTGGTGGGCTCGGTGCTGGTGAGTGATGCTGGCCCCTGGCATCGGGGCTGCGCAGGGCCGGGGTGCAGGGAGCAGAGTGGCCGTGGTGTGCTGGCAGAGTGCCGACAAGGAAAGGGCTTGTATGGGATGCAGGGTCACTTTTGTCCCCTCCCGGTCCCACGGCGTGGTCCCACCCCACACTGTCTCTGTGCCCTGTGTCCCATCTTGTGTCTGCCACCTGCCCTGCTCCGGGGTGTGATCGGAAAGGAATGCCATCGCCGAGCAGGTACCGAGGGCCATAGCGCCTGCGCTGCCTGTGCTGTGGGGACAGTGGACAGTACTGTACCATGTCCCCAACATGCAGAGATGCAGGTCCCTGCCTGGGGACCCTCTGGGCTGAGTGCAGGGTCTGGCTGCAGCCCTGGGGGCAGCAACCCCCAGTGGGGGCTACACTGACGCCCCTCTCTGACACAGGGATCTTATACCCAGGAGCTGTTGGGAAACCTCCCAAGCCAGGTAAGGAACAGGGGCTGCTCCAGCCAGGGGGAATAGAGGGGTGACCCCCATCCCTGTCCCCATCCCTGTCCCCACACTCCCCGCCCTCCCCAGGGCTCTCCCATCCCACAGGTTTTGGTGTTGGGGGGCTGCAGCCAGGTGAATGCTGCCGTTTGGGGCTGGGGTGGGACTGCGTCCCCTGGCATGCCACGCTTGCCCTGGCTTGCTGTCCCCACCCTGCTGCCATCCCCCAATGGGCATGCCACTACCTGGGAGAGCACCTCAAAGCCAGGCAGGTGACATGGTGGCGACAGGGGATTTTGCAGCAGTTCCTGTCCCTGCAGTGAGCAAGGGTCCCCAGTCAGGGTGTCCCCAGCCGGGCAGGGTTGGGGTGGCACTGCTGTCACAGGCCGTCACCGGCTCTTGCTTTTTCCTCAGGGGCTGGAGTTCCTGGCTTTGGTGTGTCACCGATATTTCCAGGTACCATCCGCAGCTCCGCACCTTGGCACGCACCCAGGGCACCTCTCGGTGCCTGCCTGGCTCACGGGGACATGGCCACGGCCTGGGGAGGGACCCAGAGGGCTGGGCTGAGCTGGGGGGTGCTCGGCTGGGGGGGGCAGACCAGAGCACTGCGGGTGCCCGGTGGGTGCTGAGGGCTTCACTCTCCTTTCAGGTGGGGTCGCCGGCCAGCTGGGATTTGGTGGTGAGTGTCCATCCCCCAAGCAGGGCATTTATTCTTTGGGGGGGTGGGGGGGGTGGCATATCCCCCCCTGCAGCCAGCAGCCAAGCGGGGTGGGGGTCCCACTCACCCTGCTCTGTCTCTCCCCCGCAGGGAAGCCCCCCAAGACCTTCGGAGGAGCCCTCGGTGCCCTGGGCTTTAGAGGTGAGCGCTGCTGCCGGGTGAACCCCATCTCGCCGGGGCCGGCTCCTGCACCCCCTGCCCTTCTCCCAGCCACCCCCCGAGGGGCTCTGGGGGTGCAGGTGGGGCTCACCCTGTGC